TATCATAATCGAGTCTAGGGGTCAGGTGTAACTTTCCAGTTTTGCCCATCAATCTCCAAGGTCCAGGGCAATACTGGAAATCTGGTCCGGTTTAGGGTTTCAAGTAAACCTACACTACATGTGCCTCGGGTGACAAGCCACCCCAACCAACTTGGCGGCACAGCAGTGTTAGCCTTGGCAAGATAAATCTCCCCAGACTTATCCAACGACTGTGAACATTCTAAACTAACAGGAGTCTCATATGTGTCCAGTTTAAGGGTATCATACAGAAACACACCATAAGAACATGAATCAAATATGTAATTTATTCATTTACAATAAATGTCATAATGTACATCATTCTGATTGGAGCTAAGGGCATACACTGTCTAACAGATATGACATTAAAAAGAATGGACTGGTGAAACAGGATTCATTTAGCCAACCCCATATAGTTAGGATAAGGTTTGGATGATGATGATGGTTATCAATTCATAGGTTGCCTAGGGGTATACCCTATAACAGGTTTTTCCAGTAGAATGATCTCAGCCATTTCTTGGCCTTTTCTTAGAGGGTTTTATTGGCTTTCTGTTGGTAAGCAGGGTTGTTGGTTTTCGTCTAACTCAGCCTCCCTATTTCTTGTTTTGTTTTATCTCTCTTTTCTTCTTTATTTTCTTGTAGTTTATATGTCTTCTTTTGCTGTTGATATTTATCAAATTGTTCATTACCAATAGCAGAGATAGAAAGAATTGCTATGGTTAACAATTTCAACAAGATGTGCTGATAAATGGTACTTATGTTCTTGTTTCCATCTCCTACAGGGACCTCAGTTTCAACAAGCTATCAGGACAAATAAATAGCAGCTTTGACAGCCTCTCAACAGTGTATTATGTGTACGTGGTTCTGTAGTTGTAACTTACCTTATAACAACATTTTTACTTTATAACAAAAATAAGTTTTCTATTTTTAAATTATAGTTTTCTGCTGCTTTACACATCATTGATGTGGCTTTTGAATAGGATTTTAGCTGCAAACATGCTCAGTGGTCCTGTGCCTTTACCAATGCTGGAAACTGGAAGAAACATGTAAGTTCATTTTCTAGGATGCTTGCTAATATTAGCTTCATTCTACTTATAATAAAGATTTAGTCTATTCTAAAGGTAACTAGTGCCTTTGTTTTACCAAATAAATTTTTAATTGTTTTTTACAATATGATGATCATTCAAGTTGCAAATTTTCTATACAGTGATCTTTCCTACAACAACTTTACAATAGGAAGCTCAGGGGTTCCAGACTGTCAAGATCAGAATGTGTAAGAACAGTTGTCTGTCACTTCTAGGTTCTTTGTACTTACCTGTTTGTGTATGAGATATTTCAACTACTGAACTTCTTACATTGTATTATGTTCTCCAGAAACTTATTCAGAAGTTCTTTTCGAAATAGCTCGTAAGTTTCCTTCTTCTTTGGAGTGGCATCATTTATTTTAAATACGGTCATGAATGCATATGAATATTTTTCTTTTGGTAGAGAAATGTCTATGAATAACCTATCATCAGCTTGCAAGCAAGAAGCTAAACCAGAGAAAAATAACAATAGAAACAATGAACCCTAAAAATATTCCATGCATTGGCTTAAATAAGCTCAACATATAACATCCAAAGAATTACATGCAAATCTCTTATATTTCCAGAATTACAATGTTGTTCCTGAATATTTAAAACATTACATAAATACCCCTATTACCTCTAACACCTACAGTGAAAGAAAATGTCCAGATACAATCAAATACAGTCATATATTCTACACCTTCCCTCAAACTCAAGGTGGAGAATCAGATTGAGTTTTCCAAATTGAATGCTGAAGCAGAGCATAACAAGCAGTGTGCTGGAGGTAGTCAAAACGTAAGGGACCATAAAACCAGAGTTAGCCATCAGAAAAACAACTGAAACGCCAAAGCAACTATCAAACCAAATCTGGAATCCAGAATAAAACCAAGTAATGAACCAAAGAATCACCAAGCTAGAGTTGACCAACCAAATACCAACTTTATCAAACCAGTAGAGAACCAATTTGATGCCTCTCACAAGTGTCAAAACAAAGCACCCACATGCTTGAATTAAAGTATAACTAAATCATAAATCAGAATTGACCATTGAAATGCCAATTATAGTCACAAACCCAAAGAATCAAAATGCACTGTTATTTGATTGTTGCTGAAAAAAAAAGAATCACAAAGAATTTCCATGTCAAATAACTATAGCAGAATCCAGTAGCAAAAAAAAAAAAAAACACCAACCAGGTGTGTAAACAGAGAACAAACTGTTCGAAAACAAAAACCAACTGATAACTAAACCAGAAATCTTACATTCCAGACATGATTTTCAACGAGTTTCTTTCAGCCTTAGAACCTATAATTTGGGTTAACATAACATTCTAAAAGTCATAAAAAAAAAACTCTCCAAATTGTAGTCTTTGAAAACCAAAACCCCACAAGAAACATAAAACATAAAAAATATGATCTAGATTGTTAACAGCCAGCCTTTCAGACAATTTGGTGAACAAGTTTTAGATAGCCTATTTAATTATAACCTAAACTAAGAAAAATCAGTCTAAAAATTCACACCGTGAATGGATTATGTCTCCAAAAACATTTATCAAACACTTTTATCTAACCAGTCAATTTTTTTGATAATTAAAAGAAATTTATTAATCAGAATGATAAATAGTACAATGTCCCCAAGGAGAGGCACGAGATGCAACCTCTCCAAGCTAGTTAAGTACAACTTTCCAATATACTAGAACAAGTTACGGTGTAGCACAAAAAAGATCCTCCTTGGAAACCCCTTGTTTGGCCAAAGAACAAGCCATAGTATTAGCTGACCTGCTTACCCATTTTACCTCAACTCTCATATTACTGGTTAACCACTTTACTTTTTTGATGAGGTCTTTGCAGCCCCAAATGGTAGCATCCGGGTTTAGAAGCCACCTTGTTACCACCTGAGAGTCCCCTTCAACTAGGAGATGTTCCACCCCAAGCTGGTTAGCAATCTGAATTCCTTGTACAGCAACTAGTATTTCTGCCCTTGTAGAGTCCCCCATTCCCACCAGTCCTAAGAATAAGGAGATGATGTTTCTATCTTTATTCCTCAAGACAACCCCTATACCTGAAGGCCCAGGGTTACCTTGGCTGCTCCCATTAAAATTTAACATGATTACACCTTCTGGAGGTAGATCCCATTCTAACAAACTTCTATTCTTCTTTGTAGAAGTTTTAGCTATTACTAGCCAATTCCTCCACGGGTCATCAAAAGAAACTGGAGAAGGTAATGAGGGGCTTTCTGTGGGAACCAGGAGAGGTGAAAAAGGACCATCCGAATTTGTCCAAAGCCAGTCTAAACCTATTAAACTAAGCTCTCGGGGATTGTTTCAGCCTGTACAAGGCCTTCTTCAAAAGGCAAACTTTCTTTCCTGCTTAAGTTCTATAAAAACCAGGGGGTAACTCCATGTATACTTCCTCTTTCAAGTCTCCGTTGAGGAAAGCATTCTTAACATTCAGTTGAAATAATGGCCATGAGAAGTTTGCAGCAATGGATAGAAGAACTCTGGTAGTGTTCATTTTTGCAACAGGTGCAAAGGTTTCTATGTAGTCTATGCCATAAGTTTGTGTGAATCCCTTTGCAACCAATCTGGCCTTATACCTCTCTATAGTACCATCAACATTATATTTCACAGTAAACACCCATTTGCATCCAACAGATTTCTTCCCTTCAGGCTAGTTAACTAGTTCCCATGTCTTGTTCTTGACAAGAGCATCCATCTCTACTTGCATTG